ATGCAAAAGTAGCCAACTTGAAACTAAAATGTTAGCGTAATTGTCAGAGGCCGTGCAGCTACTCCTAGCGAAAACTTCCTCGAAAGTCATGTCGATTTGACATCGATTGACATCGATTGACCTCATTTCTCGCTCGGGCAGTAGCTATCAGAATTATATGTGTATGATAACAATATACTTTTTTTGTAATACATAAGGAATATTTGCTCCTCGAATTAAATAAATCGTTATGTAACAGTAAAATAACTTAAATTACAATTGTATGTATGGTCTTTATTCCTCCCCTAAGGGTTACAATCTTTTACACTTTTACTTAAACGCTAACTTATCCTATCTTAATCTAACTTAACCTAGCTTAACTACTTATAAGAGATGGCGAATCCATTTCACCCGCCCTTCCCTTTCACACACACACGCCGCCTCGCCAGACTTTCGTTTCCTTTTGCTTATACATTACAATTGTATAACATTTCAATAATTTTTATAACAGTTATATTATCACGTTACAGTTATATAACATTTTGTTATAAGTTATATTACAGTTACATAATTGCAATATTTCATATGAGTGGGAAATTACAACCAATGTGTGCGTTTCATGTAACACACAAGTTATATTATCTGTTACAATCGGTTTTATTATGGCAATGTAACAGTTATGTATCTGTATTTGCTGGGTTCAGACCTCTTTGATTTCTCCAATTATATGTATTATAATAAATACAGAGTATAGAAGTAATGCATTACTTGTAACGCCGTTACCGTTACAATTTAAGTTACTTTTTTGGACTGGTAACGACATTACTTTTTTCTTCTGTAACTGTAACGGTAACGTAGTTACTTTTTTAAGTAATTGTAACGAATTTAACAGTTACTCTTATTGTTACTTTTTATATTTTAAACCTACAGTTATAAAATATAAATATATTTTCATATATTTAATCTTTAGTCACCGATCGATATTCATGATCTATTATTATCGTGGACATTACATTATTATATTGTTACATTAAAAATGTTTTAAAAATTGAAAGTACAATAAATAAACTGTATTATATTTATACTCTTCATAAAAATCAAAATTATTTTTTTACATTTTAAGTGTTTTAAAATTTCCCTCCTTAAATTTTTCATGGTTTCAGTAAAACATTGTTGCAAAAGAAGATCTTTTAGTTTGTCTGATCTTGTTTCAGAAATAAATAAAGTAACAGTAACGATAACGAGTTACTTTTGAAAATCAGTAACTGTAACGGTAACGAGTTACATTTTTAAGTTGGTAACGAGTAACGGTAATATAAATATATTTTTGTATATTTAATCTGTAGGCATCGATTGATATTTATGATCTATTATTATCATGGGTTATAATAATAATAATAATATTTTTATTAGATTCCCCTTAGGGTTACAATCTCAATCCAACTTATTTCATGAGTTATTATATTATTACATTAAAAATTTACTTTTAAAAAGTAATTTTCCCATCCCTGCATCATAATAACTAAAAAGTATAAGAGTAACAATTCCGTGAGCAATTTTTTTCTTACAAGTTTTCATTTCATCTTATTAAATAAAATTACTCGATTTTAAATGAATTCGGTGGCATACGATCAATTGGGACAAATCGTGTACGGATCGGACTTGTAACACGACTTATTATATCAGTCATGAACCGAAGATCTTTCAAATAATCAATGGGTTCAAGGTAAAAGTTGTATACTAACGATGCTATTATAGCTTTCAGTTCCAGCATAGCGAATCGTTGTCCTATTATTCATAAATAAATACATTAGAAGTTGTTTATACGACAAAAAAAGGGACAAAGATTAGCATATATGTATATTACCTATACAATTTCGTGGTCCTGCACTAAACGGTAAATAAGAATAGGGATGACGATTTTGAATTCTCTCAGGTAGAAATCTATCAGGATCAAATACCTCTGGATTTGGCCAAAAATTAGGATCTCTATGTATATCGTAGATATTTATGTGCATTACTGCTCCAGCAGGTACCAAGTATGAATCTAAATAATATATAACACAAAATATAATATTTAAACAATATATTAGTGAAAACACAAATACATATACAAATACTGATATGAACTATTTTATTTGCAGTACAATTTTTTATTTGAGGAATGATTTTATGAATTTGAAAATTTATTACATATTAAACTAACTGTGAAAATGCTTAGAATTAATAAGTTCTGCTTTGACAACATTTGAAATTGAAAATATTATGTAATAAGAAATAGAGAGAGAGAGAGAGAGAGAGAGAGAGAGAGAGAGAGAGAGAGAGAGAGAGAGAGAGAGAATTTAGAAATTATTATTATAAAAATTTTGATATAAATTGATTTCAAAATATTAATAAATGATCAAAGTTATATATTTCAGCGTGTAACACTTTTTCTCATAAATCTATAGCTAAAACAATTAACTACTATATAGTTTATTAGAATTACTCACGTAGTTTTACATCTTCCGATAAGGTTCGCGCTATGAGAGGAACGCTAGGATATAATCTTAACGATTCCTTCAAACATCTTTCCAAGTATGGCATCTTATTTAACGCTGACATAGTAAGTTTTTCTTCATTTGCTTGCATGACTGCACTTACTTCATTTCTGATACATTCCTGGCCAAGAAATAAAGTTTTGTATAATTAATGGCTTATCGTTTTTATTATTAATTAAAAATTTAGTAGTACTTATATTTCCATTTATGTGAAATAATTTCCAATAATTAAAACATTTTTATTTGTTTAAAAACTACTTACTGTAAATAGAAAATTAATACAATGAATTAATTGTGTTTACTGGTTGAATAAATTATTATTAAAAATACCTGGACATCTTTGTGTTCAGCTAGCACTAATATGGCGTAAGTCAGACCCATTGCTACAGTATCGTGTCCCTGTCATAAAAAAAATTGTTTAATTAATTTTTCCATTATATATAATATACTATATATATACGGTGTTATGTAGTACCCGACTCACATCTTATTTACGGATGGAGCGAATTAGACTCAGTCGAAAAGTCCTCTACCATTTTGCAATTTTCGCAATAGTTAACGAGTTATTAATAATTAAAAATCGCTGTCTTAGCCTGGCCTACCGCCCAATTCAAGCTCGCAGTGAAATGGGGCCGTCCCATGATCGGCGTTGCTAGATATCGGCGCGCGGGGAATTGTTTACAACACACAGCAAGGGCTACGTATAATAAACAACTCCCCGCGCGCCTAGCAACGCCGATTGCGGGACGGCCGAATCTCGTCGCGCGCTTGAATTGGACAGTATACCTGGCTAAGACAGGGATTTTTAATAATTAATAACTCGTTAACTATTGCGACAATTGCAAAATGGTAAAGGACTTTTTGACTCAGTCTAGTCCGCTCTATCCGCAAATAAGAGGAGAGGCGGGTATTACATAACGTTACCCTAAGAACTTTTTATATTTTGGTTTATAGTCCAGATAACCATTTTGAATTTTCTCCGGACTTTTATAAAATATTAGTAAAGTACCAACACACACTTACTTCGAACATGAACGTATCAACCTCTTCTCTGATATCTAAGTCGTTCATCTCGTTATCACTAGCTACCGATATTAGAAGATCCAACATAGCGAGCCGTTTCCTCTTATCTTAAGTAGATAAAATAGTAGATTAAGAACTAATTCCATATAATAATGTTGCATATATTGTACACACATACATCCAATCTCCTCTTTTTCGTCTGTCTCTATATCATCTTCAAAATGTTTCAAGTATCGTCCACCAGTGCTTTCATGATATTGTTTTCTTTCCGCAATAATCTACAAACAATACCGTATATATATCTTTACTATTTACATCATTATGATGCTAACACTTAATATATAACTTTAAATTCCTGATATATTAAATTTTAAATTGCTAACTATATTTATATATTGAATTATACATTGAAATCTTATTAAATGTTATGCATTTTTTTAGAAGAAGAATTCTCACAAATTTAAATGACACAAATATGAACAGTAAGACAGGATATTAGTGTCTAAATGATTTTTAATTTTTTAATTTATTGCGAAAAATTTACCTCAGCCAGGGTGTGAACCTGGACCTTCCACTCTCTAGGCGGACGTCTCACCAATTCGACCACCGAGACATGTGGTAATATTTATCGCAATAAACAGTCTAAAGTTATTTTACGAAAGTCACATATCGTGATTAAATTCGAAATAGAACTATGCACCGACATAATTATCAGTCTTATAACTCAGAACAAATATGAATACCCCTTGCCCTCCCTCCCCCATATATGATTTCACGTCGGAGCCTTATGAATTCTATTTGTTTAAATAACACAATTTTTACTCACTTTTTCGCTGAATCCATGCAATATTTTTAGATTTTTGGCATGTTGTCTACCCTTTGACGTTAATGCAAATATCATACTTGGAGTTAACCATGGTCTCATTAGTCTGTATGTTATTATATAACATTATCTTTCATTTAAAAAAATTGTTTTATCTTCTCCCCCCTCCAAAGTATCTTCTCTACAAAATGATATCATCAAGTGGCGCCAACTAAACTGAATATTTATACCAAGTTTTTTTAACAAACAGTAATGTCATGAATCACGATGAATATGTATCTCACAAGTAAACTAGAAAAGGCGATCTTTTCATAAAATATTTAGTTGTATTAAATTTGTTTGCATTATTCAATAAGTATTAAAAATTTGTCTCATTAATATTATTATTAATATCAATATTATTTCCTTTATTTCTTCCGGTAAAATTTTATGCTTGATATAACATTCTAATATAAAAAATAATAAAGTAGTTTATATAAATATTCAGTTTAGTTGGCGGCATTTGATGATATCATTATTTTTGTAGAGAAAATACTTTGGAGGGGGGAGGGGGGGCGAAGATAAAACAATATTTTTTAAATAAAAGATATCCAAATAATGTAATTATATAATTGTGGATTGGATGACGCTTAGCTTACTTGGCGTCTTTTTAAACCTTTTTTTATTTAAAAAAAGGTTATTTTTTAAGGTGATATCTATATACATCGAATCAAAATTTCTACATATGTAAATTACCTGTAAATTATTATCTTTCCCATATCGTGAACCGCCTGACGATATTGTTTCTGAAATTCACCCATTTTATTCAAAGAAGTCCCCATGGCTGTTTCTGCAAATACATTTACTGTCATAAGTAGCTATTTTGTTAATTCTGCTACATTGATCTTAGCAATTTAAATAAAAAATAATCTTTTAATTGAAAAGTATGCTTTTAAACCTTTCTCGTGAAATAATGTAGAAACTTGTAATTAAAAATATAATTATGATATGAATATAAATAGTAAAAAATTGTTATAAATATAAACCAATGTTTACTTAATAAAATATTTAAGACTTTTTCTACTTTATAAATATTGTATATACATATATTACTTTACCGCATATTGCATTCAAGGTATGACTACTGATAAAGAGCATTAAATCATCAACAGTCGTTTTTTTTGAATCTTTCAAAGTTTTTACCATGAGATTTCCTTCCTCAATCAGAATCTCAACAAATTGTTTTAATATACTAAAATGAAACGTAGGTGTCAGTATCTTTCGCCTTTTGTGCCATTTCGTCCCTATAACAAAAATAAAGTAATATACTAACAAAGAGATGCTGATTTGTAAAATCATACTTTGCTTTGCAAACTTTGTTTGTCAAGTTTTGTATTGTTTATTTAATTTGATACAACAGAATTTGCATATCAATTAACTGCGACTATATTCTATTATCTTTTTACATCACGTATTTTTAAAAACCTTATGTTTATGTGTATTGACATTTTATTATATAAAAATAATAATATTTGGCCGTTCTACAATTCTTATTTTATTTAATATTATGTTTTATATTTCATTCTTGGTAATTCCAACATTTTGCATTCATTTATAAAAGTTAGTAATATTAAATACATAAATATATACTAACATATATTATATTTTCGTTATATTATTTATTTATAATAACATTTTGACACAAATATATGCGTAGCCGTCTTTTGTACTAATTTTACTTCGAATTTTCCAAATGTTAGAATTAATAATTTTGTTATATTCTTTGCAATACCTTCGCTAGTAAGTAATCCAGTTCCTAACCAAGGATAGAAGAGGGAATAGATATGGCCTTTTGAAAGATGTTCCTTTGAATTGCCTAGTACTTTCTAAAATTGGAGAAAAAATTAAATTAAATAATAATATTTTTACATCGTAAAATGTATTGATGATTATGTCTGAGCAAGCATTCTAAACTTGTTATTGTTTGAACCAAACAATCTTTCATACATAAATCTAACAATAATCTGAATTGTGCTATAAATATCTGTAAAACTTATGTTTGAAATTTTGTAATGAATCGATCAAAGATTAACTTCTCTTTTAATATGTCTTTTACCTCTAAATCATCTGGATGGTGAATGCTGACAAAAGCAATTGGACCACACCAAAGTTTATAAATTGGATAATACTTTTGACAAAGTGTACGCTGAAGGTTCCAAAGATCCTCTTTCATAAGAAATATAAAATTGAAAATTAATAAATAAAATAAATTTAATAAAGGTTGAGTGTTTGGTATTTAAAGATATTCCTCAATTTACGCGGTATACATTCTTAGTTTTACTTGATTTTATTTTATGCATAAAATATATCTATATCTATATGTATATCTCTCCAAATTTATATTGAATATACAATAAAATTGAAATAGAAGTGCTAAATAATTCTAGTAATGAGGAATAATAATTTTAAACCAATTAATAAGAAAATGTTAACTGCTTTGAAGTACAGTACTGATAGCGACAACGAAGAAAATTTAAATTTGTTTTCTTGAACTTTCATTATTATTGTTTTTATGCATATTTGTGAAATAAATATTTTTATATCACACGTGCACGGAAAAGTGCCTCTTTTTTTAGTTTTTCGTGCCCAAAATAGACATTTGCCGACACAATACAGTTTGCACGCAACATGGCGTCAACTGTGCGGAAAAGCCGTGCGGTAAAATTATTACCGCACACTTTAGCGCTGTTTTTGTTTATCTCCCAGCACAATTGCCGATCTCTCTTCCACACGCCGTCTTTGACAGATGACAGGTTAGCCTCAAAGTTTTTACACGTAACTGTCAAAAAAGAGGTACTTTTCCGTGCACTTATAATATAAAATAGTATGTGATACATGTGCGGGAGATTGGCTATTGGCCATGAGTAGCGGGTGGGCGCACGAGCCGAAGGCGTGGCCAATAGCCAATTTCCCGCACATGTATCACAATATACTATTATCACATACACGAGTTTTTTTCTTACGCACTTTTTTGTACTAGTAGACTTTATTTACGCGATTCTCAATGTATAAAACGTGAAATAAATACTCCGTATAAATCAAGGGACCAGTGTACATTGAATAGAAGATTAATTAAAAATTGAAATTAATAGCTGCTGTTGCATGAAGAAATATAAATGGATCTAATTAATAATTATAAATGCTTTTAACATATATGTTCATCACATATGCATCATGTTTCCAACCAAAAACAGCACTATTCTGTCGCATCTTTATTCATTTATCAATTTTATTAATATATTCTTATCTTTTATAAACCAAGTAAATGCTAATTATTCAAATAAAGATCTCTAAAAAGTTCTACTTGCCTTGTGAAGACATCCATAAATCTATAGTATGGCCGAGCACTGGAAGTGACGGCATACTTGGTATGTTATTAATCAGGCGCACAAATTTTACATAATGACGAAAGTAATATAGTAGGAAAATAAAAGCACACAATAGGAGTAAAATGATAACCATTGTTTACAATTTAAAAGTCTTCGACTGTTTCGTTTGTTCTTTCAGCTTTTGTTAACACAAATTAGTATAATACGCTGTAAAAAGAAAGATAAAATAATTTTATTATTACATCAAAACACTATAGAAGATGAGTTACGTAAAGAGTTTACGTAAAGGTAGTAAAATTATACACATGTTAGGAAAGTCATTACAATTCTACACGCGAATATTGTTATTGCTTCTCGACAACAAAGAGTATGTATAACTTATATGTATGTATATATGTGTGTGTATGTGTACGTAAACATATACTACATATAAGTTATAACTTAATTACTATTAAGCTATTATTACATGCAGTGTATATGTATTGTGTAGATAATTTGACGCATACGATAAAAATAGACTGTATTGCATATTTATGTTAGACTAGGGTGTCAAATAATATCTAGACACAGTCAATTATCTCGATAAGGAAGAGTTTTACTAGAAAATGTTTCAGACAAAAAAGTTGTTTGTTTTCCGAGGGGGACATAAGATGAGGTCATTAATTTGGCCTTGAATAGTTGCTTCAAGGTCACGTGAAGATCACCTTCATTTTTTTAAATCGAATCCCCTCTTGTTTTCTATACTAGCTTACTCTACTAATTAATGTGAACAACTTTTTCTATAATTAGTATAATACGCTGTAAAAAGAAAGATAAAATAATTTTATTATTACATCGAAATACTACCCAAAAAAAAATGGGAAGCGTATGATGACTGGAATGACAATTGTATTCTTGAGATTCGACTTTCTAATTAAACAAATTAAGAGATTCCTGATTGCGCATGCATCTTCATGGTGGCCTCGCCACGGATTTGCACGCCTGCACAGTCAAGTTTTATTGCACAAAGTACCAATTCACTACAGAAAATGAGTTATATAAAGAGTTTACGTAAAGATAAAGTTATATGTTAGGAAAGTCTTATACTCCAAAAAGTCTGAAAAATGTTTTACTAAAATAAGTAAGCATCGCACAATTTCTAAAGTTTATAGTTTACACGAAAATACTTATAATTATGTATAATTCGCGAAATTTTTTTCAACGCTGTAATTTTAAAAAGTCTATATTTTTTTAACAACATATTTCTATTCTAATACAAATACTCTAATAAAATAAAGAATATATAATATACAACTTACCTTACACAAAGTATATCCAAATTAGTATTATGGGGATTTTTATATTAACATCTCTTTCATTATAGCTCTTATAAGCACTTATATTACACGTTGTTATTTAAAAGGTAATCACAAATAATTTTAACGATAACGTATAAAATTCGTAAAATTATGTAACTAGTAAGATAGTCTATAATTGAAGAAACTTTGTTAAACTTGAAGAACTTTAACTGGCGATAACAACAGAGATACTGTCTTCACATATCTGATCTAATCGTACAAGATTACTTTCTTAGAAATGTAGCTAAACTACAATGCACAACAGCGTTGCTGTGATGTCTGAGCAGGTCCTCCTTCACGAGTGGGATATCTCCACGTCACTTCACCGACTGAAATGGAGGGGCGATAAAGAAGGTCAATGTTGAACTATCATCATTTCTCTATCCTTTTCACACTCATTATATACTGATTAGTCATACTACTAGCTTAGTCATACTAAAAGAATGCAGCAATGTGGTAATATAGTAAATGTCGGTTATAATGTTCTCATATAATAAAGATAAACCAAAAACTATAAATGTTTAATAAATTCACCATTGCGATTCACTGATGTTTATTGACATCGTATAATGTCCGGTTTTGCTCAAACAAGTATTTGCTCGAGCAAATTTTTGTCTCCTGCACGTTTTTTATCACAAATAAAGTATTTCAACATTATTTAAGAAATTATTTATAAATAACTCGTATGTTTCCGTTCTCGGACACGGAACATTAACATATTGCTCGCTGTTTTTTCCTGGTGCGGGGTCTTTTAACGTCGCGCGTCGCTCCACCTCCCACTCACCGTTGCTGATCTAGTCAAACAACTATCTGACATGCCTTCCGCCCGAGCCTAATCTACTGCTCTTCAGGCAATCACTCGCGCTCAAACGTTTCAATACATTATTCGATAACTACTGCGAATCTTGTAAAATGGTACATGACTTTTCTTCTTAGTCTGACCCAATCTACCACCATTTTTCGTAGGGGTCCTCTTGTGTCAAACACCCTATATATCATAGTTTCACATTCACTATTTCATAAATAATTTAGTTACAATATATTTATAACTATTATTTAAATATAGTTTGAATTATTAGAAATATATCTAATATTTAAATATTAAAATATTTAATACTTAAAATTACTCACAGAGATTTATTTGATTATGAATATAATGAGAACTCCAACCAAAATAAAACTTGCAATTAGTAATAAAACATGTACTCTTGCATATCAATCTCATTACGTTACTTTTAGTTCGAAAACCAGTGTCTATCTAATCAAGGATATAAAACGTAATAAATCGGGCGCTTTTTAATGTGCTTCGTGCTGCATGCTATTGTCTGAAATTGTAGAAAATATTGAGTTAAGTTATTTAATTCGTTTACAAGATATATTATTGCAGATATATAATTAATTAACTAGTTTTCGAATTATTTCAAACATTTATCTCGAAGAAATTCTTAAAGAATGAACATATTATTTAAAATTAAACTCAATATACATAAATACATAAATCGCTAGTGCATCAACAATAAAAATATATTTAAATTGCTATTTCTAAATTATCTGAATGATGAGAATAATATGGGCAGAAATGCCATATTTTAAGAATGGAATATGGAATTGGTCAGATAAGCTAGTCAGTATCTTCTATTATTCTTTTAGAAACACGTGTATGTATGTATGTATTACATAACATACAGAAATATTATAAAATTATTTATACAGTACTTAGGTCAGCTCTGTTTTCAATGACAAAAAATTATATGTACAATATATGTGCTCATACATATGTATATCTATACTTTACGTACAAAATAAATTACATATAAAATATTAGAAATATTAGAATATTAGAAATATATTATATGTATAAGGATGAATGGTATAATTATAATAACACTTTAAGTGTGACATTAAATAGATTATTATTGTATAGATTTTCCAATAAAATTTTGTCAAATTTTACGTTATATAAATAATATTCATACTAGATTCTGATGTAATGTTTAATTATAACTGAGATGTTTGTAATAAAATTATAAGTTTCATAAAACCATATCGACTAATCTCCTATGTAGACTCTTATTCTGGTTCTAAATGAGTGTTTAAACACGAAAACAGGAAATTGCGTAAAGCGAAAGTACGATGTTGAAAAAAAGATGAATTGATACGCCAGAATACATATGAATAAATTTACACACTGATGATTTTATTATTGTGTATACTGATGATGTTCTTCTGAGATTACAATATTGTATAAACATCATTTGAAATATCATATCAAAAACATAACAAGATAATAAAAAGCTTCCAACCTTGACATTTTATAATAAATAATTAACAAAACATGAGTAGGTCTTTTATATTAGCATAAAACAACTTATAAGTATGATAATAATTTATAGATATTGTATATTTCCATAAATTTAATAGTACAGGTCTTCGTCATTTTCTTCGTATATTTTTCGAAAGTCAATTTAGCACAAATATTAATTTATTTGCAAAGGATCGACATTCTGTCTTACCTAATTGTAACATGTATACGGTTTTATAAACAGGAAAGCAAACGTTGAAATAACTTTCATATAAAGACGCATAAATAACACGTAAATACCATATGTTTGTAGAATAATTTATTTTAACGTGTAGTTTATCATTCCGACTAATTGTAAGTCCAACAATCGTTTTTTGGCAAACTGTACGGAGTGCAACTTATTTTGAAAAATTAAATGTAAAATAACATACAACAATATAATTTAGCTTGATTCAATCTTTATTATTTATTTTATGCAAGCACGTAAATATATATATATATATTTATAAAAACCAGTTATAACATGTTTAACACTTGTTTAATTGTGTTAGGATGTCGTCTTTTATGGCCTCGAAATACGTTTGCTTCAAAAAGCTATATGCATTTTATGATTTGGACAAACCTTTAAACAAAGTGGATAAGAAGGGCGCAACATTAAATTAATTTCCATACGAAGGAATTTTAAATAATAAGTAAACTCAAAGTAGAAATTAAGTAATAGTGAGGCTATTATTGCTTTCATCCCCAGTAAAGCGAATAGTTTGCCTACAACTTGTTATATGTATATCTGAAACTGTTCATATAAGAAGATATCGAAAAACACGACTGATCAACACAGTTTGTGGTCCAATACCGAATAGTAAATATGAGCAAGAATAATGATTGTGAATTTTTTCAAGTAAATCAATCTAGATCAAATGTCTTTGGATTTGGTCAAAAATTAGGATCTTTATGGGATTCCTGGATATAAAAATGTACAACTGTTCTAGCAAGTACTAAATATAACTCTCTGAAGTATATTTATTTATTAATAATAATCATCCCGTATTATAATAATATAAGAGGCGAGCCGATATGATCCGACAGCGAGTTGTCTGGATCATGGCTAAACTTCAATGTCATGAATATACTTTTAATGACTATATAATTTAACATAATTTAAAAATGTATTTAAAAATTGAATTTTTTAAATAGAAAACCTACTATCCCCCTATTAGAAATTGTAAGGCGTAACAAAGGGCAAGTCATGAGGTCATCATCAAGGAAAACCTGTTCAGGCAATTTTTATTCTCGATATTACCTTTACGGTCAGGGCCCTATCAGGGTTACCTGATGAGTGCTTGATCAGGCATTAACGCTTACTTATTAAGCCCATACCAGGACCCTATTAAAATTTCTGCTCGGAAAGTTCTTAACACTCGAATTCTATTTAAACGTTTATTTTGAGGCGATTGGGATCAATTTTACACGCATCGGATTAGAAGTTCGCATCACCAAATCAATTTTTACTACGTTGTCCTTTAAATAATCAACAGGTTCCAGATAGAAATTGTGTATTAGATGGGACATCATTGCCTTCATCTCCAGCAAAGCAAATCGTTGGCCTACAATTTAATGTATTTCAAACTGATTATATAAAAAAATGTAGAGAAATAGCTTACCGATACAATTACGTGGTCCAGCACTAAATGGTATGTACGAATAAGGATGACGATTTCTAATGTTTTCAGATAAAAATCTATCCGGATCAAATACTTCAGGATTTGGCCAAAAATTAGGATCTCTATGAACGCCATAGATATTAAGGTGCACCAGTGTCCCACCAGGTATCAAATATGATTCTAAAAAGTATTTTATAAAAATGTAATGTACAAATAATAATAAAAAACTTTGTTAAAATTTTAAAATGTAAACATCTATTTGATGCAACATAAATTAAATACATTAATTAGCATAATAGCAAAATTCATACAATAATCTTCATTCATTGATCTCATAAAAATATTAAAAAATTTTTTGTATTATAAATTATAATAGCATTTAATTAACAATTAATTTTGCCTCAAAAAATTTTCGTCGTATTTATGAAAATAAGAAAAATAAGTTTACTTTTAAAATATAATTATATTGTTATATTTGCAAATGTGGTTATTTCTTCGCCAGTTTGTTAATCAATAAATTAATACCGCTGTTTTGACGTATCTGGCTTTTTATTCACGTTGTTACATTAACGACGTTTCGATCGTGAATTACGATCCTCTTCAGGTTTTTACAACAGACGAACAAGAGCCAAACATTAGCTCGACAATTGTGGCAGCAAAAAGTGGAATCTGTGAACTAACATTACATTTCTTTAAAATAATATCCGCACACATTATAACGCAAAACGAAAGTGAATATGTAAAAACTTACTAGCAATGTTCGTCACAATGAAGTACAAGTAAAAAAATTTTTCTTTTCCAATTTAAGAGCATCTGTGGAATAATCGAGCACGAAATTAGACATCCACACTACTTACTAGTTTTCACTCTTCTGACGAAGGGAGGTCAAAGGCTCATTAAAAAGGAAAATAAAACGATCAATCTACAGAAAGACACAGATAACCTTTCAAAGATTTGTGACAAAATAATCAGAATTGTATAAACGGTAACGCCTTTGACCTCCCTTCGTCAGAAGAGTGAAAACTAGTGAGTGGATGTCTGATTTCGTGCTCGATTATTCCACAGATGCTCTTAAATTGGAAAAGAAAAATTTTTTACTTGTACTTCATTGTGACAAACATTGCTAGTAAGTTTTTACATATTCACTTTCGTTTTGCGTTATAATGTGTGCGGATATTATTTTAAAGAAATGTAATGTTAGTTCATAGATTCCACTTTTTGCTGCCACAATTGTCGAGCTAATGTTGGGCTCTTGTTCGTCTCTTGTAAAAACCTGAAGAGGATCGTAATTCACGATCGAAACGTCGTTAATGTAACAACGTGAATAAAAAGCCAGATACGTCGAAACAGCGGTATTAATACATATATTTAATAATATATAATATGCCTAAACAGGAAAGGATTAATTAGATACGTACTTAATTGTACTTCTTCATTTATAAATCGTGAAATAAAGTAAACACTAGGATATAAACGCAACGCTTCTTTTATACATCTCTCTAAATATGATAGACCTTGCAGCGATTTCATAGTAAGTGTTCCCTGATTCTCTTGCATAACAGTATTGATTTCTCTTCTGACACGATCCTATATTATTAGTAATTAAGAGAACATTATTTACCGTGACTAATGTTTCATTTACATGAAAGTAAAGAAATTTTATAAAAATGGTATATAATAATTTTTACGTGAAAACACAGAACATGACAAAAATGTCGTAGCAATGTTGCGATATTGCTATAATGTTGCTACAATGTTAAAACATTGCCGCAATGTTCTGCAATGTTCTGTGTTGGCTCGGTTATACAACACTTGAAATAACATGTTTAAATATTTATATAAGTATGTTGCAAATAATGGAAGAGCAGAGAAATATTTTAATTATACCCACGCATTTTTTGTATATTAATTTAAAAAAA